ATTATACCATAATTAAATTTCATTAGATTTAATATAAAATATTTAATAAATGGGGAGTACTTAAATTTAATCTAATTATGTTTAAATCAAAATAAATGTTGCTTTTGTTCCAATCCTGTCTGCTACTTTACCATGGCAAGGCCCCTTCCATCTCATTTTGGGAGTGGAGCCTCAACATGCCAGTGAAAGACTCAATGTCAGACTTGGCTTGAGAAGAGATACAGACCCCCACACTGGGGTGCCCACAGGGCATGGTCCAGAATGTCAAGATGGTGGCTGCAACAATCCAATGCCCATATAAAATGGGCAGAGCTTCGGTCACACTGTCTTGACTGCCATCCTGATTTATTTTACCATACCCTGCAGAAACCCCCACTCTAATATAATGTAATTCCATGTCCCCACTCAAACGTAATTATTTCACAATCAAGTTCTGAAGGTGCAGAGCTTTGTTCGAGGCCCATCAGCTTTCACGTGTGAATCCTGTCGCCTGATTTCTTGTTGGCTCTTCTGACTGTTCTGGGCCCTTCAGATGCTTTTCAACAAACACCTAACCATGGTAGTCTGCAGGAAAACCCCTCCACTCATGGTTTATTCCCCAGTTCAGACTTTTTTTTCGGTTAACTGGAAGTAAGCAGGTGAGTTCCCAGACAAAGTCATCACTGTGAGGGGCTCCTCTGCAATTACTTTATTGCTAAAACAAGGAAAGCAAAGATGATCCCAGTTGTTTCCAAAGCTGTTGAATTTAGGGTACCAAAATTATCCTAATGAAAAATGATGATCGTGTTACAGTTCACCAGCGACTAGGATTCATCTCTGCAGCAGCCTGACTCTTTCCTTCCTGTCCTTTCCCACCCATGCTCTCAATACAGTAATATGAACATCCGTTGAAGGGCGCTAGCGCCAAACAGAATTCTGAAGCCAGCGTAGAGAGTTTCAGACGAGTCTGCTCACCAACACGGAGGCGTGCAAATTGGCTTTTTCCTTCCCTTCCTCATAACTGTTTAGTGATACAATAAAGTAGCACCAATTGTGCTTATCTTCTAAACTAGTTCCAAATGTTGACCAAAGGGAACCAGGGTTAGCTCTGACAAGGATGGGTAACCTGAATGACCATCATGCTTCATCAGTGTGACTGTCAGGAGCGGGTCAGCCTTCTGGTACAGGGAGAAAATGTCTGAATTTCTAAACTGTGTGGATTTTTCTTGCAGAGAGGGTTAAGTCTGCGCTGGCTATGAAAGAGATGCATTCTGGATGCCTTCATTGTTTTATGTTGCTTAAACAAAACACAGAGCTACAGAAGATGATGAGATGGCACAGAGCAAACCTGAGCAATTTGTGATCAAGAGATCTCATGTTCCACATACTCATTTCCACTTCATCCTGTGGCTGCTGTCCAATCAGTTTTGGACAACTATGCTACAAAGCACAGAGCCAGCAAATGGGATGCTTTAATTTGGGCCATGGAATAACCACCATTTGAAAGGGTTAAGCTAGAAGCAACCGCAACCTGTCATACCCTAAGAAATGGGGGGGGGGAATCTGGGCCAAGCAGCAACATGGTCTCTTCAAACCAAACCAAACCAAAGTCAGACCTTTATCCTAAAACATGCACAAAGTCCTCGCAAAGCTAGTATGAGGGTGGGCATCAGGAAGCCAAGCAAGGATCCCAGCATGCAGATTCCCCCAACCCCATAAGCTCCGTCAAGAGACTCCCTTGCTCTTCTCCCTCCTCCCATGTCCAAGCATCACTACCTGTGGGCTGCATGGTCAGACACACTGATGCTGCGGGACCGGAAGGCATCGACAGCTGAGGGTTCCTTCAGCGCTTTCACGGGAGGAGAGTGGTTCAAGTTTGGCCTGGCATTTTTGGCTACTTTAAAGCTACTAGGGGCAAAGCAGCATCAGGACCAAAGAGGCGATTGCACAGGAAGGAAATCATTGGAAGGATGGGAGGTGAAAGGCCACGAAAGTCCCAGAAGACGATGGAGAAAAGAAAGGAAAAGAAGGAAAAAACAGAAGGAGGCCAAAAAAAGGAGGGAGGGGAATTAAAAAACAACAAGAAAAACTTAAAAGCATGAACATTTTAAACACAAAAAACAACAAGCCCGTTTTGCTCCAGACTGCTAAATGTTACCCCAACCCAAAACAAAACAGAACAAAAACTGATCACACACGACCAGATGAAATTAGCGCAACTTAACACAAAGGCGGATTGAAAGTGGCAGCTGGAATGTTAAGGTGCGCTGGACAAGGAAACATGTTATGGCTGGGTGGGCAGAGCAGAGAGACAGAACCATATAACCTCAACGGCTCCCTTCACAACAACCTGCCTCGGCTGACCCACAAGGTCAGAAGACTACCCAAAGTGCTCCACTCAGCTGGGAAACCAACTCCAGGGATGAACCAGGACAATCTTAGGACTGAGAATTAGAATTAATTCATTTTTCCTACTGCCAAACAAAATTATTTGATTTCAAAATAAGCAAGTTTCTTTAAGTGGGAATCACCCTAGTTTAGATTCTAATAATAACCATACCTGGGAAAGACATCAGGAACTGGGAGAATGCATTTCTTACCAGGCAGACAAACACATTCTTGTATCTCATACCTGAGCTGTCCTATCTATGAAAACGTATCGTCTATGCCCTGGCTGCAATTTATTAATAGTTTTGGGATTTCTTGTGAGATTTCTGTCTAGAAGCAAGTCATAAAAACCATTCATCCCTCATTAAGAGATCCTCTCCTTCGGAGAGGAGCAGGTTCCAAGCAAAAAGGGTCTTTGGCAATGGTTTGTGGAGACTCTCTCCCAATGATACATTTTGACCTGAACTTACAAATCAGCAATATTCCAACTTGATGAGAATAAAATATTCAGTCGAGTTAGTGGTGACAGAGCCACAGCAAAAAAGACAATGGTGCCTATGAGAAAGATGGATTCGTGACATTTCAATTATTGTGACTTAAATCTGACACACAAAAACTGTACTATGCTGAATGATGGTTGTCTCCATTCAGCATCTCATTTTGATGGATGTCGCTACTGGGAGGAAAACTAAGGCATGTCTAGAGACAGCTCTGAATGATTCCTTCCCTCAGAGCAGGGCAGAGATCTGGGCCTGGATGGGCGGATTCAGAGATCTCATCCAAGGGCCCTAATGAGGCACTCTGCTCAGGAGGTGGGTGGGTGGACAGCTGCAAGACAGACTCCCCTCCCCACGATTACTGCTAGCAAAGCCGGTGTTCAGGTATCCCCTGGCTTCTGTGGTTGTTTTTTCATGGCTAACATGGAATTGGTATTTCTGTTTCCTGAAGCTAAACTAAACACACTATGCGTGATTTTTAAAGTGAACCACTGCAAATTAATTTTTAATGCTGTTTAACTAACCTTAAACATTTGGAACAAATAATTAAGAATCTGCACAATTCTGTTTCTTTAGCTGCCCCACTGATTAAGGAAGGAAGCATACAGAGAGAAGGGGCAGTCATGCAGCTTCCAGCTCGGTATTAAACAAGGGTTGGCTTCGGGGGGCTTCAGCAACTGCTGTAGCAGCCTTGCACAGGCTGGCTGCCTCCCTCCAGCATTCCCCATCCATCTGGATAAGAAAAAAGGCAACCAAAGATGATTAGTCTCAGGTCTTCACCAAAAAGGGAGAGAAACGTGAACACGAGCAGGCTTCTGCATTCAGACAAAACTTCAATTCTGGAGTTGTGTTGCAGCCACCCTAAAGCAAAGCAAGTGGGCAAAGGCTGAGGGAAGCCATTCTTGCAGAAACTGCTTCTGACTGCTGCCAAAGAGAGAGAGGAGTCCTTCCTGCACACAGAGCCAACTTACTTCTTTGGTCTCTCATTCAGACTTGTACTACGAGCCCGGAAACTGTCTTTCTCTGGGGTGTCATCAAAGGAGAGGAGGATGTTCGACCGCAAACCCTGCCCAAAAGAGAAGGTGGGGAGTGCCAGACAGGATCCAAAATGTTCTCTAGCCCAGACACTCCAGATGGATCTCACTACAACACCCCTCACCCTAACCCCACCCAGAGGGCACCTGGTGTCAGCCCTACAAGGTAGACCAGACAAGACACCAATGCCATATAGGTCAGGGCTACTTTTATTGTAACAGCCATAGGAACCAAACCGTGCAAATTGGATGTGCTCCCCCCGCACCCCTTTATCTTCATATGAATTAGGGAGAGGCTGGTCTGAGGTGTTTACTCAAGTTAATTTCTTGGAAGGGGCTCAAGCCTGGCTTATCTGTCCGTTGCCTTGTAGGGCTCTTCCTCCTGTCCTTCAAGGCACTCCCTCTGCCCCTAGCTGGGAACAGCTGCGTCACTTCTCACAGCAAATTCAAGCAAAGTCTTCCTAGCTTCACTTGGTCCTTGCTAACTACGGGGTAAGTCACGCTAAGACGCCTCCCGTAACAAATGCCATTGAAACGTGCAGTGGCATCTGCAAGGGCTCCTAAGTGTTGTGAGGGTCACTCCAGTGGAAAAGCTCTTGTCTTTGTTAAGTATGTAACACACTCACCTTAGTAATATAGGGAACAAAGTCTTTCCGAAAGGGAAGGCGGCATTTGATAAACCACATGGCTATGACATGATGTGCCAGGCACACAATATACTGGTTGAACCTACAAACAGTTAAGAAAAAGTGTTTAGCAGCCCTGACAGAGTGGGGCCATGGAAAGGCTCTTGGGCAGACAATCAATAAATCAAATGAGTAACAATAACAGGGCAAAGCAACCAGGCCAGCTGCGTGATCTGTTCTACAAATGGAAGCGCTACAGAGAAGTCTGCACTGTGAAGGTCACATCAACGCACAGGAGATTTGCCTGGGAACCATTTACCATTCCTAAATCAGCCCCTTGGCAACCCCATTCTGCCTCTCCCAACCTTCAGTCTCCTACGAGGGGAGGGAAGACAAAATGGGAATGGGCCATCTAAACCTAGGTCCTATTCCGGGCTAGAAAGCCACTCTGGCGACAGAAAACCAAGGATCCCGTGAGGTAGTATCATTCCCGGGGAAGCACCCAGCTTACTTGGAGGGGTTTGTATACGGCAGGGAGATGGCAAATACGCTGGCGTACTGCTCAGCTGCAAAGTTCCTGTAGAGGTGAGGCAGGCGGGCCAGTGCTGGAAGGGGGAAGAAAACAAGGTCAGTTTTCAGGTGACACAGCCGGCCTCGCCCTAGTCCATGCACACATTGCGCATTTCGCACAATTCACCCAGATGAAGGTTGCTGAATCAGCTGTAATGGGCTGGGCTTGTGGGTCACCCTAAGCCATAAGCAACAATCTGCAAGCCACGGGCTGGGCCCATATCAGGCAGCCTGCCCCACCATGTTTTGCCCAGTTCTGGTATAGTGAGCTGAGCTTTGTAGGCTACAGAAAAGGCCTTTTTTGGCATACCCTTTTTGTTCATTAAGTCCTCCCTCAGGGGTATATTTCTTGAATTTTGCAGGAGATGAACTGGGGATGGGCACCTTAAATATCTACAAGATTAATAGCACTTACCCCCCGCCAAAAAAAAAAAAAACCCTTCTCAACAACTCTAATACAAAAAAATGGCTTCCAAAATATCATCCGGACTGTTTGGGGCAGGATGCGCTGCGGTGACTACACACTGAGTGTGGAGGGGGCTGCGTGAGGTTGCCGGACCCTGGTTCCGCATGCTGTATGAACCCAACCACAGAGTCGACTCTCAGCTACAGGGTTCGCCATTTCCATCACATGCTTAGTCTTTTCTTTGCACAGATAGAAAAAATAAGGACCCCTCGGGGTTGAGCTTGACTCTCAACAGCCTTCTTGGCCACAGAATGGAAGTGGTCTGCCAATGCCTTCTTGCCAGATGAATGCTCTAGTGGTCTCCCATCCAAGGCCCAACTATGTCTGAACTTGGCTTCTGAGCCCAAAGTCAACCAGGTTCTGTCACCTGCTGAGACTGAAAATATAAACCCGGATGCAAAGAACAACCCAATGAGATCCACAAGCTAAAATGGTTTGAGCTTTCCTGCACCTGATTTTCTTCCAATTCTCCCCACCCTCTCACTGTCAAAGGCCAGAAATTTGCAAAGGTTAGGGCATTTCAGAAACAGGGCAACTATTCAAATATCCCATTGCCAAAGCTCTTAAGAGGTTCTAAAACAGTTGTGGCTTTCCAAAAACAGCAGAGACTCATTCCTTTTTGCTACTCCTTCCAAAGAGACAGACAAGATGTATGCTACAGGGGCACCACCACTTACTCGAAAGGAATTCCAAGAGTGGGATGGCCATGTTGGCTGTAGCTGAAATATGCGTCAACTTAACTATCAGGACTGGCAAAGCTTTGATGATAATATCCGGCATCTCGACGCTGCAGATCGACAACGCCACCACACACTGGCTGGCGCAGCGGAAGATCAGCCCATGCTCCAGGCAATAAACCATCTCTCGCTGGGCGGAGAGAACATGGTTATACAGGACAGATACAACGTGGGCACCAAGACATTCTGTACTGATTGGTTAGGAACAGTTAAGAGGGAGGGAGTGGATTCCGATGCGTTTTAGCATCTGAATCTGAATCGAAGAAAGCCATCCCTCCCTACTGCATTTGCCTGGCGCTTCAGAGAGGCATTTGGAGATCATTAAGATCGTGCTATCCTGAATGTGGCACATTGGACCGATTGGCTATAACTGTATAAACTGATTTTTGCTTTTAATCTTCTGTTATTAATTCTATAAGCAACGGAGACTCTCTGGAAATGAAGTGGCGTAAAAGCTGCAGCGATAAATATAAATACGTACTTCTGGAAAGGTCTCAGAAGCACCGAAGCCTTGGCAGGGAATGAAGCAAGTCTCCCTCGGTCCCATTGCCCCTGCCCCCTCATGCAATACCTGCTTCGTTTTGTCCAGGTAACTGTGGTAGGAGATCAAGGCAGTCAAGACTGGAACCACAGCCGGGTGCAAGTCATTCCGGGACAGCCCTTCCGAGACGTCCCTCAGCCGCTCAGTCATCTTCTTATCTGTGAGCTAGCACAAAAGAGACACCAAGTTGTTAAGTTTCCAAAAACAGTTTTTCCAGAAGGGAAACCACGGCTTAGAACCAATCAGTGCAGCTGAGTCTCCAGGCCACGTGCAGTCCCTGAAGCGACTCCCCAAAGCCCCTGCTGGGAACTGCATTTTTCAGATGAGAAGGGGAAAACTAATACCTGGAAAATCATCATATTAACTGCATTTAATTTAAAATTTAGCTTTTGTTTGCACTGCACCCACCCACATAGACTCTGGCCCTCAGCCCAAAACACACTGTACAGCCCTGGATAAAAACACCCAAGGCCAAATTCGAAACCTGCAGAACACACACAAAAGCCCCCACATTTCGTGCTCAAATGTTCCAGTCACAGCATTAAAAGGTGTTGGGGAAGGACAGATGGAAGCTGGGTCCAAAACAGCCAAGCCCACATTCTCAGAGGCCCAGGCGCATCCTTACCATAGAACACAGAGCAGAAGACAGTTGATCAATACTGCAAGGAGAGGTTAAGTAAAGGACTTTATACTGCAGAGATTTGGGCAACTTGTTCAGAACCTGCTTCAGCACCTTCCAGTCTGTCTCCTAAAATGGAAGAAGAAAAGGGAAATTCAAGAAATGAAGGAGTCCATAAGCACCAAACAAAGGCCCTTATGCCCATTGGTCCTGGGAATGATCATTTTTCGACATGAATCGAGTAGTTCATTCTCAGCATCCTAGCTGTTATTTTCATCACACTTTCTGTATTTGCTAGGATATTATTTGTCCTTGATCGCATTTCTGAAGCAATATTGGGAAACAGAGCCCAACCCTCAAAATAAGCAAATAAATGTTATTATTGGATTCCTTGAACAAGCAGGAATGTTCAAGCAGGTGCCTTCAAAGTGCTTCATCTTACAATTATGTAACTGTAAACCTTCTAACAACAATCCTACAAGCTTGCCTTCCTAACTGGGTATCCTTAAGATGTGGAAAAATTATTGCCAGAATCTCCAACCAACAGAGCATACGTTTGGCCTAGCAAAGGGTTATGGGAATTGAAGTCAAGGCATATGAAGGGCACCAGTCTGGGGAATGTAACTGCAAGTAAAGATACTATTATTCTTCCCTAAATTACAGAGAAGAAAGGGTGCAAGTGAGACTTGAACTGGGGACTTTCTGATTCAGAGCTCAGTCTCTTCAGCACTCTTCTAAAGTTTGCTGCAAGATGACTGCAGCTTGGCAACCTGTGTCAAGCAAGCAGGGAAATGCACTGCTATTCACAGAGGCTGCCTTGAAACGCCAATTGCACTTCATCTCATGAGTGACTCTGGCTTCAGTCTCATCCCGGCTGGATACTGAGAACTCAGATCAACCGGCAGTTGTCCATTTTGATCCCTCACTCACTTGCTTCAAGCACTGCAGAAGAACTCCAAAGAGGAGAGAATAAGACAAGTGGCCTGTACGGATGGGAGCGTTCTGAGGGAGCACGCTTGGACTTCCCGAGGGAGGGGAGAGAGTGCCAGCAAGTTTTTTCTCGGGCTCCCTGTGACATAAGAGGAGAAGACCATTAGCAAGGCCTGGTGCCAAGAGCTCCAAGAAGCATCCTCTTCCATTCAGAAGAGAGAGCTTCTTCCAGACCATTCCAGCAAGCTTTAGGCTAGGACAAAGCAGAAGCATTTTGGAAAGGAGACAGCTGCTGTCCCCAAGTTCTAAAAAGGGAAAGGCTGCTACCAAAAGAAACATACACCGAATCGCAGAGACAGTAGGGGCTGAATCTCACAAGGCCATCTTTGGTGGGGAGGCCCAACCGGTGGAGAAGAGAGTCAGCACGAAGTGAGAGCAAGAAGTCAAATGCCTAAAAACGGAAAGAACAATCCAGTGTAAGAGCAAGAAGTAAAAGAAGGGGCATCATTATTGGACGCGCCAACCATTCCAAGCCTAGCTACATGAGAAGAGCTCCTCAGCCAGGCTAAGTAGCCCCATAATATTTCTGAAAAAAGCTTCAGGAAGCATTAGATGGACAGTGAGAGAGAAACTGTTCCCACCCACCACTGGCACATGATCCCCAAAAAAGTGGATGTCCTGCTATGTCCTAGACACGGCTTGCTGGCAGTGGCTGCAGTGTTGTTAAACCTCATTCCTCTTGCAAGGCTACGTGAGGTGGGAACGTCAGCTTCACAGGCAAGGGAGCCAGCTGTTAGCCTGGTCTAGGGATGTAGCAAGAGGTGTCTCACCCCTCTGTGCCATTCCAGGCCTCTTCCCAGAACTTGTAAAACCAAAATAGATATCTGCCAATTTAGCAGCAATGGCCACTAACAAGGCACCCAAATCATTTCACTCCCCCTTTACTTCATCTCTCCAATATTTCCTGCAAATCTATGGTCCTGGAAGGGATCCAAAAGTGTGTTCTCACCTGCAGGCGAATACTGCTGGCAATAGGGAGGCTGTACTTGTGTTTATAATGGAGCTGAATGTGATGGACAAGCATCTCATAGACCCGAGTGGCATGGCTGGCAGGCAAACTGTACAACTTGGTCTAAAAGGAGGAAAGGAAGAGTTTTTGTCAAACTGGAATTGCTCTCTTTTACTACATAAACACAGAAAGAATAGCTAAAGACCATATTTAATTTTTAAAATATTTTCCTTGTAAGTGAAAAAGGAATTGCTGCCTTCCATTTACCTGGAAAATGACAAGCAAACCAACGACTGCCGTCTTCACATCTTCTAGAGAGGCAGAGTAAGACAGCAGATCTCTTTCTTCCAGGTCAGCAGGAGGCAGCAAGGAACGGGAAGCAACCTTTTTAGGAAGAGAGCGAGCAGCTTTGCTGGAGACCATCGCCCACACCGATGAGCACTGCAAGGGACTGAGATTGCCCGGCTAAACCCCAAGAGGCCATTCTCCCAGATGAGAGCAGAAGAGGGCAAAAATCTACAGCTCATCTGTAGGAAATTTGGCTAGTCCCTTTCCATGCCATTTAGAGTTTAGACACCCTCAAGGCAGTGGGGCTTCCCATTCTGAGAACTACTTCTCTTGCAGTTGTTATGTCCAGGAGAACAAAGCCATCAAGCCCTTCAAAAATTAGCCCAAATCCTTAGCCATGTGGCCAATATTGGGTTCAATGGCTAGCTGAGCCCCAAGCACTCTGACTTTTGGGCTGCTCCCTTTCAGGTACTTCATTTATTAAATTTGTATACCACCAGATCCATAGAGACTTTTGGTGGCTTATATAATGTCAACAATGAAGACATCCATGATAAACAATGTACAGGTAGTCCTCCAGTTATGACGACAATTGGGACTGGTATTTCTTTCACTAAGTGATGCTGTCATAAAGCATGTCACGTGACTGCACTGCTTAGTGACATCCCGCAGTCCCAGTCACTGCCATAACCCCAGGACTATGGGAAGAGGCAGGGGTCCCAGGCAAGCAAGCCAGCGGATGTGCGGGGGGAGGGTACTGAGGGCAGGCACTCCAGAGTGTGGGCGGGTGAAAAAACAGTGAGAACAGGAATGACTTCCTGCCAGTTTCCCCAGTGACTTTGCTTGTGGGAAGCCGGCAGAGAACATTGGAAATCGTGAACAAGTGACCACAGGGATGCTGCGATGGCCGCAACTTCGCAGACCACTCCCTCGTTCAATGCCGTTGTAACTTTGAACGGTTGCTGAACGAGTGGTCGTAACTCAAGAACTACCTGTAAAATAATAAAATGTCCATATTAGTAAATGAAGTGTCCAGGTGGCACTCTGTAATCCATCTTCATGGAGTTATGGTTGGGGCACTGAGGGCCCTAAACCCAACAAGTCTGCACCAGTTAGAGGGAATGCCCACATCCACTGGGAAGCCACCTTTCTACCATCTCCACTCTTGAGATCAGCTTTGCTGACCAGTCAGCCTCCTCTACTTTCCACAGACCAGATGACTTTCCCAGACCATAAGCCACTCACAGCCCAGCTACTTCCAACAGTCCTCCTCTCAATTCTTTGCCATTCATTTTCAGCCTCCATTCAAATCTTCTGTCCTCTCCTTTTTTCTGACCCTGGATTTATCTTCCTCACCATAAACATATCCATTCTTTCATTCCACTTGACAACCTCCACGCCTTCCTAATATAATCCATCTTTCTCAATCACACATCAATCCCTTCTCAATCCCAGCCTCCATGGCAGTCAGGGGAAAACTTCAAATCCGTATTCCAGGAGCCCCCCCCCCAATATTGTTAAACTACACTTAACAACCATTCATTCAGTGACCATTCAAAGTTATGACAGCACTGAATAAATAGTAGTTATGGCCAGTCCTCAAAGTTATGGCCATTGTAGCATCCCTGTGGCCACATGATCAAAATTCGGGCTCTTGGCAGCTCACCACAGGGTGCGCTTCAACTCCCCCCACCCATCTATCTCCCCCCATCTCTGCCCTTTTGGCCACCCTGCACTCCAGTGCCCCTGCTGCCCCCAGCTGACCTTCCCTGTCCTCTTCCTCCCCCTGCTGATGAGGCGCACCCAGCTTTGGGAAGAAGGCCTCACAAAGGGCCAGACTGGGTACACTTCATCAGTAGCAGGAAGAAGACAGTGAAGGTCAACTGGGGGGGTGGGATGGGGGGTGCACAGTGGAAGGCAGAGCAGTGGAGGTGCAGGGCAGAGTGCAGGGGGCCAGGGGTGGCAGGGCTTCACACCATGGTGCTGGGACAGCTGCAGCTGGGGCTTCGTGCTGGGGTGCTTAGGCAGCTAGCCACAGCGTGGAGCTTGAGACTCCTTGGTGGTGACGATGCTGGGGCTGAAGTAGAGGCTGGGGGTGGCCAGCTGAGACTGCTGAAGACCTCAGGCCTCTGCTTGAACCTCAGAGCTACTGGTGCCGCCACTGAGAAGTGCCGCTGTGCAGGGCAGCCAAAAGGGCAGAGATGGGGGGGAGACAGGTGGGTGGGGTAGTTGAAGAGGCAGTCCCTTACCTGGAAGAACTGAGGCTCGGAGCTGGGAGGGAGGACCAAGCCAGGAATGGCTTGGATCGGGGTGGGTCCTCCCTTAACAACCGGGTGGGATTCGCTTAATGATGGCAACAGTGACTGCCAGAGCTGCCATCGCTAAGGAGGGCAGTCACATGATGTCTCACTTAATGACATTATTTAAAAACAGAGTTGTCAGTCCCAATTGTTGCAGGCCCTTAGTTAAGCAAGGACTACCTGTAACTCCCTGCAGCCCCAGTTAGCATGGTGAAGGATTCTAGAAGTACTTCAGCAACATCTACAGGAACCCAATTTCCTCATGTTTGCTTGGAACAGCTCTCCAGGACAATGATTTACAAACTGCGTTCTAAGAGGGAGCCTTCACAGCTACACTTTCTTCCCCATTTACTGCTCAGCATTTATGCAGTTGTGGATTCTCCAAGTTGCATCTCAGATATTTTACAAAAATCTCTCCTATTTTACAGGAAAACATCATCATCCCCATCATCTCCCAAGTGAGAATGAATTCATGGCATAAGCAAAATTTGAATCCAGATTCATCCAAGTTCACCACTCAGTGGCCTTGTTCCTACAAAATAAACCATGATGACACAATTTGGTTTGGGCTTGGTATACGCCGTGAACCCAGCCACTGTGGTTCATAGGTTGTTCATTATTAGTCTATTGTACACCTCTAGCCAACTACAGCTTATTCAATAAACTATGCTGGAATACATCACAGTTTAGTGCTAGATATAAATCATAACTCAGCTAACATGATATACTGGAAAGGGCAGGGAGCCTAAATGTGAGCATCTATGAACGCGATGGTCCCAATTCCATTATCAACCCAAAAACACTGTTGCCATTGTTATAAAAGCCTCTTAATTGTACAAAACACATTGGAGAGTTACAGTGACCTTCAGTTAACAACACAGACTCTACCCCAAAGCATGATTTGCTCTCTATTTTCTGGGAAGAAGCATCACCTTTGCTGTCAGAGAAATGGTGCTGAAACACAATTTCCCATACCTTCTCGATGATATCCAGCAAGCTGTTAAAGTGATGGGTATTGCAACCCTCGGCCAAGTCCACCAGCAACTGGGTGGCCAGTTTGCGGACTTGATGGTCTTTATCTTCTGGGATGTGAGATAGCTGGGAGATGACCAGATTAATCAATTCCTCCTGCAACCAGAGATGATTTCTGAGTGTAACTAAGGCAGACTGACAGGCAGGTTTCTATGTTAACTGGCAGGCAAAACAAGCCAGCACAGCCCCTCAAGCAGCCGTAGGCCGTTCCACCTCCAGAACCATGACCTCGTCATCTCAACTGTATGAAAGACTGCACATTCCAGTCCTGGGCATCCATCTCCTTCTCCCTTAATCTTTTGGTTGTAATTATTGTTTTATCCTTCAACAGTTTTAGTGGGCAATTGTGGCACTTTTACGACTGCTACTATTGTTTCTGAGACTCTAAATTCAGCTGATGGTCAAGATCTCTGAGCAGTTTACAGTAGAAAATGTAGTTTTGTATGATTTTTAAATGCTGAACAGTTTTTTTAATTGATTGTTGCTTCCATTTGTGATTTTAAAAATTGTGTTCTGCTGCTTTTATTGAACCCATGTAATATACTGAAAAATCAATCAATCAATAAATTCACCATCTTAAATATGAGTTTGAGAAGTGCAAGCAGTGACAGCTGGGAGTAGACAGAGAGCAGTGCACAGCAGTGCTTATATTCAGGGTTTCAAAAGGATCCAAGGGACATCTGAAACAGAGATGGAAGGGAGGAGGAAGCAGTCTGCAGATGTTTCAGCTCCAAGTGTTTACAATTCACTGCAGGAAAGCACTGAATCTATGAGACAGTGTCAACGGTTACATAGAAAGGCAATGGGAAATTTTGCCCACTTTTATTTGTAAACATTTCCCTCCTTCCATAGGATGGGTGAACCTCTATCCTGGGGACAAAGAAGAAAATGTTTATTTCTAACTGACACAAATGCATTGTGTCCTGGAAGTTCAGCCAAATAGTCTTGGATCAGCTGGGATTTGCCAGAGACAAAACCTAGTGTGGTTTTTTGTTGTTGTTGTTCTGGGTTTCAGCCAAAACAAACCCCACGGGGACCTGGAGCAATTTCCCGGGGTGAGCAGGGCAAGGCTTGCCTTCCTGTCTCTCTCCCCTCGTTCAGAGTTAAGGGAAGGTTGGTACTGCTTTTGCCTCTGCTGCATGACTGGGGTGCCCTGTCCTCAAGGGTTTTAGCAGTCCCCAGGAGAGCACATCTCCAGGCCAGCCCACCCCACTGTCTTCCGTCTTGATGCCTGCATGGCAAAGGAAGGAGAGGTGGCCCTCTACTGTGGGGCAGTACAGGGTTCTCCCAATGTTCCAGCACTGCAGAAGGAACTACCCCTCCCCTTTCTGCCCTTCTCTGCCTCCCCTTTCTCAACTGCCATCACTGGGACATACTATTGCAGAGGAAGACTCTCAGCCTTGGTTCTTCCCTGCTCTCACCCTCCAAAACAGATCTGCCCAGAACAATCGCATTTCATTTTTATCAGAAAACATCCTCCCTTCCCTCTCTATCTGAACCAAACATGTGTTCACTTTGAGCGTGAACCACCTTCTCTCCCGCACATGGAACAGTTTGCACATGAACCATTTTGTACCTCTCTCCTCTATGCTATTCCACCACAAAGCTTGACCTTTATGTATAATCAGAATGACCCATCTCAGAACAAGAGGAAAACTTACCTCATAAAGCTGCCTATTGACACTCAGCACAAAGGACAGGACGTGCAAAACCTTTATGCGAACAGCACTCCGACTCTCATTTCTAAGCAGAAAAGGTGGACAAATAAAGTTGCTTTTAAAAAAGAGACCACATGCAGCTCAAAATCTTACTGTGGCCGGTGTTGCTAAGTTTGTTGAAATATATGCAGAGTCTGGAACTTATCAGATTCTAGGATGAGTCCACACAGTAGCCTAAACCAATTAACTCAGCAACTGGGGCTGTAAACTATGCTTTGCTGCTTAGTGTTATCTCTGGATCTAGACAACAATGGCTTCAACATCCTTACTCCAATGTGGGAATCCAGCCAGAGAATCAATTTTGATGTAAGCAACTTCATCGATCATTTGGCTCAATCCAGCATCAACAGAAATATCTGCCGCCACAGTATCCCCAATCCTTGACCACCCCACCCTCTTTTTCCAAAGAAGAGGCCATCACTGCTAAGTCCCCTATAATTCCACTGTGGAATAATCTGAACTTCTTCCTAATATTTCTTCAGCTTGAATATCTTGGTTGGTATCAAATCATTTGGGGAAAAGTGAAAATAAGTTTGCTCCTTCAACTATATATTAAGTTGTCAAACTGGGATCAGGATCAAGCCCCCGTGAACATGGAGCTCACAGCTAGCCTTCCTCAATTTAACCTACTTCGCAGAGTTGTTGCTGTGGACAGTTTGAGAGGAGACCCCCATGTGAGCGGCCTTGAGTTCTCAGAGGAGACAGAACATTATTGCAGTAAGTAAGTAGTATTAAACATCAGAAAACGATGATCACATAGGCTGGATCCATAAATAGCCCTAAGCCATAAACCAGTTCACAAACCACAACGGCTGTGTTCATAACAAGCCACATAATGGCTTGGCAGAATGTGTGAGCTCAAACAGAGTCTTTTCCTTACATTGGTCTCCAGCAGCCCTTTGCAACCCTCATCCCAACACCCTCATCTGGCAACGTCTACGGAGAGAAAAGAGACAAAGCGGAGCCACAGAGTGGTTGTGGGTCCTACCTGAAGAACCTCTCCATCAGCACCTGGAGGTTTTGGATCCAGCTGTCCTTCGCAGGGTGGATGGACTGAGCTCGGTACGTTATGAGGTTCAGAACTGAAGATTCCTTCCAAAAGACAGCAGAGAGGCAAAACTGTCACAGTGTTCTGAATAGTCCCCTACCCTTCCTCAGTAAGATCCAGGCCTTCTGGCTTAAAAAGCACTGAATTTTGTTTCTTACTATTTTACACACATTTATACACAAAAAAACAGGATCATGCAGATATAACCAATATATATATAACCAATATATAACCAATATATATATATATAACCAATATATAACCAATATAACAGTCTAGAAGGGATGCAACTTAAATGGTGGTCTCTTCCAGTGGCAGTTAGAAGTGGCACATATTATCTGCCCTGCAGTTTGTAACTTAGCTTTCTTTTTTCAATTCATACGTAACATTAAGCTAAGGTTTGTTTTTTCTAACTGTGGCTCAGTTGAACATACAACCTCTTCACAAGCAACAAACTGTAGATTTATTTGGGGGAATAAATAACATTTAAAATAATGAGTTTTATCAAACAGGATTGATACTTGTTACCATAGTAAACCTGAAATCCTAGCTTATTTCTGTTTTTCAAAGTAAAGCCCATAAGTGCCCCCCAAGCCCTACAGTCATACCACCACCAACACAAGCAGATAAAACAACACTAACCCAGAAACACACAGAAAAAAAAAACTTTAAATGCAATGCTGTCACATAAATTTGTAACTAAATCTGTCTACTAACAATTATAAGGATGTCTCAAATGTGATACTGGCAAAAGGAGGAGGAAATTTATCTGAAGAAGCCAGGATTTACGTTGCTCTTTTGGTCTGTTCAACAAACCATAGTTAAAACAAATCCTAGCTTAGCACTGCATGCTAATGCCGTCAAAGTCTTACCAGTTGGCTTTTACCATTTAGAAGCCACTCAGAACATATGGGAAATAATCTATAGGTGCTCTAAATAAACAATTTAGTGGAAGTGCACTTTTGGGTTGAATAAAATGATTAGAAGGTATCACTTGAGGTGGAACATTTCCCAACAAAGCCTTACAGGCCTTTGGTCAGCACATCTCTCCACAAGTTCAAAGTATCGTTCTTTGGAGCCATGGAAGTCGTTCTGGTCACAGAGTTCCTCAACTGTAGTCAGCAAATCATGAACAATGGATTTCAACTCCTGGCTTTCCAAAGCCTAGAAGGCAGAAGAAGAACCCTGATTTCAAAAAATTGTCTAGTACAGATGCTTCTATTAACCCTGGTGCCTAGGAATGGGAGAAAAATGCATATTCTTCCTACCCACGGTTTATAACCAAAACTGTTATACTTGCAACTCAGCCAACTTCTCCCCAGCAATTGTTTAATCAAGATCCTAGATTCTGTGAGAATTACAGGTGCAGGAACAAGTGCAGTGTGCTGGATCTTCAAAAAAGAAGCAAGCTTCCAGCCCCTGCACTGAAAAAAGCAGGAAACAGACATGTTTTTCTGCCCTAAATTTTCTATATAGAGCTGTTGCATTTGAAAGTAAGGACGCTCTCTGGAATTCTTGTGTTGGAACCTTTACCTTCCTGCTAACAGATACTATTAATCAGAACTCTCAGTCTTATTCCTTGGATTAACTGTTTCAAATCTAGACAGCAAATAGGTAGTTTGACCATTTCTGGGTGTTACTCACAAATCATGATTTCCTCAAGGAAAGGATAACCACATTCCAAGCAATGCCTCCTAGCTTACGTGTATCACTTAGGGATATGCAAAACTCCGTGGACAAACTGTTCGACGCCCAGAGTAGCTGGTTCCATGTATGGACCCAAACAGCCAAATCACATGTGTTTGGGCTGTTTGGGTCCATACATGGAATGAAATACAGCTATTTTGCTTTGAGCAGGCACTGAAATGTGGCTATTCTGGGCAGAATTGAATTGGTGGAGGAAGGGATAAGAACGGGTAAGACGCCATGCTCATCAGTGGTGGCTGGGGTGGGGGGCAAGAGCGAAGGAGAGGGGCACTGGAAAGATCGGGGGGGCAGGCAAGCAGGCAGGTAGGAGGGATATTGGGAGCTGTTGAGGACAGGAGGGTGATGCAAATCAACCTTGCCCTCCTGCTTCTGTAAAATCCCTCTGGCTTCCCTTGGGACTTTGATTTGAAACCCAGAACCATCAAAAGCTCTGTGTTCTTTCTGCCAAACGTTCTGCTAAAATGGTCTAGCAGAACTTCTGGAATGCCTTAGTTTGTTCCAGATTCAAAACACCACAGCTTTTCTTTTTCATGCACACCCACACTGCACATTGCAAAACTATAACGGTGTTACCCATGCTAACAAAAGTACAGAGATGGCATCCACATTTCTGGGATTAGTTTTGACCAAAGCTTGAGGGGAAAGAGAGCATCAGCGATGCCTCTCCAACATCCCCCAAAAGAAAAGAAGAAAAGCAACAGAAAGCATAAATACAGCAGGTTGTAAGAATAGCTTATAATCTAAACCACACCAGATTTTCATAATCTGGTCAACTGGACTAGCAAACTCTGCTCCACCAAGTGGGCACCTAAAATAGGCAGCGCACTTACCTGCAGCTGCTCAACCAGCCGCTGCATGATATCCAGAAGGACGTCCCAGGTGACTGCCTGAAGTTCCTTGCCAAATTTTTTGATCAGCCTTGTTATGGAGAGGACGATTTCATAAGACACGATGGCATTGGGAGCTGTCATGGCCTAGAAGGAAAAGCCACAACCAAGGGAAAAGCTGGTGGAACAGAAGCAGCACCTTAACTGAAAGGAGCTGTCTGGTAATTCCACAGGTGTGGGCACAATTCAGAAAACAAGACGTTGTTACAGAGGCTGATACATACCACCCATGAGACAGCTAAAGATCATTCCCCAGGTCTGCTCAGATGGACTCTGCCTTCCTCCCCCACAGGGCCATTAACACCAACAGTCAAGCTGAAAGGATCCTAGGGGCTTATTTCTTTAGAATTTGTGTTTGTTTTACAACCTCTGATATTCTTGGAAGCTGCTCTGGTAGGAATTATTTTGAAAGATGGGATACAAATAATTGTAATAATTAAATATTCATGTAGCTATATCCACAGCAACTGAAGTGCTGTATAAAGCTAATAAAATTGGGTGGTGTTAGATGTCTGCTGCTGGAGGGCAGGGCCAGGAGAAGGAATCTCTGTCTGGCCAAGAAGGACCCTGGCTGGTAAATGCTGTTTGGAACTCCAGCTGGAATCTCTCCATGAGACCCTGGAATACAGGGAGTGGACTGTCTCAAACCAAGGGTCCTAGGGAGAATAAGATCTGGAGGTGGGGAAAGCCTTAAGGCTCACGTGAGGAAGGATAGGCAGGTTGCATGAAGTCCCTGCTTCTAGCCCTCTGGCCTCTTCACTGGGACCAGGACCAGCCTGCTGCTGGTGAAGGCCAGGGCCATATGCAATAAGATCTCATTCATCCACGATTTAGTGGTGGTGAAGTCACCAACCTGGCATGAATTACTGAAATCTATCAGGGCGAGGATTGGGACTTTCCCCTTCCCAAAATTGACAGCTCTTGCTTGATCAGCAAGCAGAAGTCATGGATGGGGGACCTTTGCCCAGCTTTGGCCAAAATGACCACTATGGAGCAGGAAGCCCTTGTTACCTCCCATCTAGACGACTGTAACACAGTCTACTTGGGGCTGCCTTTGAAGATTACCTAGAAACTACTCCTGGTATAAAATGCTGTTGCCCACTTGTGAGGAGGCAAGAGTCCTACTGCACAATAATACCTATCTGTGGGTGTTGTATTGGTTGCTAATAGATTTCTGAGTGCAACTCAAAATGCTGGTTGTAACCTATAAAGCCCTTTATGACTTGATTCCCAGTTAATTTAGGACTGTCTCCTTCAAGAAGATGCTGCCCATCCCACATGTTCTGTTTGAGAAGATCTGTTTAGGGTGCTCACCCCTCAAGAGGTGAGGGGGTGGGAATCCAGAGCCGGACCTCCTCCGGTTTCGGCCCCTTCTTTATAAAACGGCTTGCCCCTCCCTTGGTCAGAATGGCCCCTTCCTTCTTGAATTTTAGAAGACAGTGTTAATGGCACTGTTCTCCTGGGCTTAGGGGGAATTAGAGGGTAATTGGCTCTACTTATGGATTTTTATATTATTGTGTAGCTGCTTCAATCAGTATTCTTTAAATCTAAAAGCTGCATAGTTTTTTTCTTTTTTTGTATTTTGCTGGCCATAGCCCATCTAAAGTACAGGAGGAGGGTGATATACACATTTTATATTAAAATTAATAAATGAAGCAAAGTAGTAAACAACTGCTAGAGTTGTGCAAGCAGGACTCCAAAGCAGCAGGTTAGAACTGGGTGTTTGTGAAAGGTTGCAACCAACCAAGAGAGGAATCATGCTGCTATCACAGATCAAAAAAGGTATCTGTGCTTATAGCTTCCTTGGACTCCTGCTCGCTCACAGTCCTTTTTCCCAGCTACTTATGAGGCTCAATATATGGGATGTGAGCAACCTTGAAGACACTTAGGAGAGAAAACTGCACTCAGTGATCTCTGAATCCCCTCCCAATACCCATTCTCCAACATTCGCTTGCTTCTTACTCCACCCTTCCTCCAAGGAGCTCAGGGATCTATAGAAGATTCCCCTCACCTGAGTTGTATCCTAGTCAAGGCAACCAATTTTCAACCAGCCATAGACGTTCAGTGAACTTTGCATCTAAGCTAGGATCTGAATGTCAATTTCTCTGCTATCTAGAACCCATGGCAACCTTTGCAAATTGGGAACTTTGGGATGAGTTGGGCCAACTGCCATAATGACCCTAGCTTTTGGCCATGCTGCACTTGGAATTATTTGGGTTAAAATCCAATACATCTGGAGGAACCAAGTTGGGAAGACGATGCTATACCATCTTGTTTCAAACACTCTTCCGGGGATCAAGTTTACCTTCAGGAAAGAGGGCAGCACAGATGTTGGTGAATTTTTGAGAGTCTGTAGTCTGTGTGCACCCCACAAGGCCATCCCCACAAAGAAGACAGCCCCTCTCAGGAGGACTGCATCCGCCATGTAGGTCCTGAAAACACAAAACAGTTGAAAGTGTTCTAACATCTTCCTCACAAAAGTCTGCACAAGAATGACAAGTCCCAGAATTTGTACATTTCCTAAGTCAAGTCATTTCATTTTATGTGGCACCCAACCATTTCCCTGCACTACCAAGCTGGTCCTTCAGTATACCACCCCTAAGGCTTGCTCCCATCCCTGAGAAAGAGAGCTTCGACCAGGGGATGCAACATACCTGTCCTCCATGATCCGACACATGTTATAAATGGCACTATGACCCAGGTGAGTTCCCAACAGTTTCCGCATGAGCTGAAGGAAAAATAAGGGGTCTCTGTTAATTGTACAAAATCCCAAGAATTCTTCACTTAAAGTACTGTAAATTTTGCAGCAAAGAAATGGAGAGCACCAAGCCTGATGACAAATTATCTGACAGAAATTTAATGAAACTATGTAACATTTGCATCAATTATGTGCTGTATGGTAGATAATCTGGCATACTATCTTACAAAACGTCACCCAAAAGTTCTCAGTGCAAAATTCCAGTTTTTTAAAGCACAGATAAGTGAAGTTAAATTTGAGATGCTCTTTCTGGTGTAAAGCAGCCAGCAAAGGGCTGACCCCTAATCTGTAAGTGGCAAGGCCAAAAATGGGAGAAAAGACCCCTGGGGGGAGTTGCTGGAAGAATTCTGAGCGAATGCCAGCTTTTCAGACCTTCAGCCTTCCAACCTGACAACTCCAAAAGGGGCAGAGAGAGATCTGTCTATTCAGTTCTACTTTTCCTTATCCGAGGCATTTTTTTGTGGAAGCCCTAATAGGGCATCATAGCAAAAAAGACGCTGTTTGAAAACCCTCAATTCTTCCACATGGGCCCCAGGAAATATCTGCTCCCATCCTAGATCATAAAGCAGCTTTCTTCGGAGAATCTTTTGTAACCTCTTGGGGAAATAAAACTTCTACACAAAATAGCTTGCTATGAAGAAAATAGGATCTGGGAATGTTTTGCCTGGAGATAAGAAGATTACCAGATTAGAATATTACTTGGTTCACACATTCTTATGATTGAATTTGCTGTTTGTTTGGGGTTTTTTTATTCATTTTTTATTGCTTTTTAATCAATAACAAAAAAAGAAAACACAAAAATATCAAGAAGAAAGAACATAAGTGCTATTATGAAAAAGTGACAACAAAATAAAAAACTTAGCGTAGTACATCATTATAACAGTAGTTACAAATTATATCTAATGCAAATATTAATCAGATGCATATGTATTTCCAATACATTTATGTGACTATCATCCACCTATCATTCTTTTTAACCTACTCTATTTTGTATAAATGAGGCCCATATTTCATTCATACAAAGTCTACGCCTGTACGTTTGCCCTGCCAGTGTTGGGGGGGGTTGTTTTATTTTATTTTATTTTGTTTTCCTCTGGTAGTTCCTTGATTAGGGTATTTTTTCCTGCTTGATTGTATGTCTGGTG